GTAAAATCTGCGATCCGCTTCCGGTTCAAGGGAGAACATCGAATATAGGGGTAAAAGAGTTCTGTTCGTATGCGTGTTACGTGTGTGCACGTTCTCGAGCGTGTATGATCTCTATGAAATGGTACAATCGAACGGCGTCGGAATTGCCGTTTCTCTTACCTACACGTATATACACCGTATCGACGATCCTCCCTAATGTACATTACAGTCTAGGAAGAGTAACAAATGCTATTTTACAATCATCTTTATACAGAATATCGGCGTTCCGTCCGCGAGCTATGGGCCGTCGATGACACGGGGCAGGTAAATGAGACGACGCCGACAGCCCGCCGCGTGCCTCGGAAACGATCGGCTCGCGAAAGACGAAGCTATCGTCGGACTCCAGACGATCGCGCTGGAACCGTTAGAATCGTCGTCTCGTTTATGGACGCTCGGCTGCGACGTATTTCCGGTTTGCTAATACCGCCGCGACGTCCACGGTACGATTTGTTTCGGAACGTTAACACGGCGATCGATGCGGTAATCCTGGTTACCAGCTACAGGTTGGATTGTCTTAATCTAGAATCGCGTTCGCTTGGACCAAAGGGTGTAACAATCATCGTGTACTCGGGGAGAAATGTACAGTGTGCGAATCTGTGGTCGGCATTCGGTATTCGACTACTTGGTGCTGAGTTCTCAAGTACTTTACGCTTGAATACTGGCCATTCGAAGACTCGAGATACTGAACGCGACGTCCGTGTACGCGATGTTGCCTCGGTTATTTGCAATGCGGTAAGTACGATTGGAATACTTCTGTTGCTCGAAAGATCGATGATCCGTTCGCTCCGTTTATTATCGGAGGTTCCGTTCGCTATGTGTATTCGATGTCGAAGCACTCGGTGCTCGACCAGCCGATGTTCGAATGCTCGGTATTCCGTACTCAAGTACTCAGAATTCAGTGTACGAATCGAATCGTTGCTCGTCGCGTTCTGAACACAAGTTCGGGGAGAAGTTCTCGTTCGAATACAAAACGTCTCAATGATTCGTGTGCTTTCTAGGATAAGGCTCCCGGCACTTGCTGGACACGTGGTTCTACCGACAAAAGAGGTTATCGAGAGGCTTTGTACGCGGGAAAGACTAAAGCTACAGTTCCCTCGAATCCTTCGTGAAGCCTGCAAGGAAGAGTGTCAACCTTTAACGGAATTACGATAAGTTAGCTCGAACAAATCTAGCGAGAGTATTGAATGCGACTGGTTTTTGAGTATTATTCGTAGAACGGCCCACTGGAACGAGACTCTCGCCGCTATCTAGTTTATGCTGTTTGGGAACTGAAAGTAAATTCTGTACCTTTCTCAATTATTTTCGCTCGTTATAGAAGCGACGGAGATCGTCGATTTTTGGATAAAAGAAAGCACAAAGTGTTGCACTGTTTCTAATTAGAATCTTCGCATTCAATTTTTCCTTTGTCAACGAAATAACGAACATAATCGTGTCTGCTTATAAAACGAAGTTCAACAGCAGTCGCTTCTCTGAACGAAATCGAGCGTTCGGTCTGAAAAGTGTTGTCAAGCGACGCCATAGCTGCGAGCGAGCTTGATGGCCGGCCTCCGAAAAAAACCACCCTCGAGGTAGCTACAGAGGGAGCCCGTCTCCAGTGTCTTTAAATCCCTCCGTGGCATCTACTCGATTCTTAGTTGAACAATGACTTTGTACGAATGCATATCCCTTCCGTTTGTACAAATTTTTTAATCGCTGTTTCTACCTGTCAAGGTAATAATACAGTCACGTGATTTCTTTGGTCGCGAGAAAGCTGTGGAACAACGTATCACAAGCAGATCGACACGCCGGATACGATGTAACGTATAATTACGATTCCAAAGGTTTCAGATCAATCTCGAATTTCTACCGTTTCCCTAAAATCGTTCAGGCTCTAGACGTTCCCGGAGTCTTCGAATCACTGTGGACCGTCCAACGATCGATTTCGGCGTGACGAGGCTTCGTGCGTTCATTTATACAAACTGTCGTGAGAAGAAAGATAATATACCCTGCGTGACCCGGGTCATGCGTATACTTCTACGACCTCTAGATTAAACATGAACCGAAGAAGAGCCATCGGTTCCCTCGCGACTCTCCTCGCTATATCGCGTGAGCGCAACGATCAGCAGCTCCGACGACGTTTTCGTTTCCGTACGCAAAGAATACTTTCCACCACGCGAAGAACTGGTGATCGATCCGAAAGAAACCATCGGATCATCGACGGACGCGTTCTCGGCGCGCCCTGAATTTCCGAACGCGTGCGTTCTCGTCTCTCGGTAACGAAAGCAACCGAAGCATCGGCAGCGGCCAGTCGTCGACGAAATTTGGCAGGCTTCCAACCAGGCTAATTAATCGAATTTAAGCAGACTCGTTAACCTTTTTTCGACTCCTGTTGCGTCGTTCGTTCAACGGATCCCTGGACAGGATTTTTTCGAACCCTACGTTCAGCCGTAACGAAAAGCGATTTCACTCGCGAATCTACCATCGTTATATTCCGGTCAACTCTGTAATTGTTTATTCGATTGTAAAAGAACGTGTACACATACAATGAAAAGTTTAGTAAAATCGAACAAAGGATCTCAGTTATCCGATCACAGGCGGACAAGAAAAAAATTCGATTTTAACAGAAGAAATTTCGACATCCTGTTGCAGCGTGATTTTTACACAGATTTACACTGAAATGGTCGAAATACCGAACCGTATTACATAAATTCGCCGATAATAATAATAATTTCTGATAGACACCAAACGATATGTATCGAGAGTAAATCAGAAGTAAAAAATCATCCAGAGCAGTCGAGCCGATTATTTTGAGGTGACCAATTGTTGTGCCTTTAGCTTGTCAGGTTGTCCCAAAAATGTCTCGTAATCCGGAAACGAGGGTTCCTGAGCTCATGCGAATAAACTTTTTCCTTAGCGAAAATGCAATCCAGGGCTTCGTTTACTAGTAATTAACGAAAAACACTGACCAATGAGATGCGAGCGCACGAAGCCGTTGGCTCATTGGCCGCTCATTGCCTCGGCCGTCACGCACCAGCTGATCTCGTCTCTTATTGGTCACTAATTTCCGTTAATATCTCGTAAACAAAACCGCGGATTGCATTTTCGCTAATGTAAAAGTTACTTCAAATGACCTCAGGAACCACCCATTTCCGGATTGTAAGAAATTGTGCGACACCCTATATATTTATCGAATAAGACGTAGTAAATTTTTAAATAAAAAACTTTAACATATCTTATTCGATAAATACAAAGCTAAAGGGACAGCAATTGGTCACCCCACAGTAACCGGCTCCACTACCTTAAGCGTCCAGAGTAATCCAGGGATTAATAAAAAGAAGCTCTAATCATAAGTCTGCGTCAAATCGAACCCGTAATTCACCGACCGGTGAATGAAATCTGGTTGACCGAAATACAACGTCTAAGTCGGATCGCTTCTTTCGATCCAATTGCTACAGAAAACGCGTCTGGAGATTAACACCGTCGTTAGGTCGAGTCAGCTTTCACCGGAATCGAGCCGCTATTGCCGATGCAAGCTTTCGGTACCGCGTCGCGCTCGATAGTCCCGCCTGAAACCCAGGACACGGTGTCCCGAGTCCGCGATCCTCTGTTTTCTAGCTGCAGCTATCTTGGTATCTTGGTCGCGCGATAAATGTATCCCCCGCGACTCGAGTGATCGGGGTCAGCGATTCGTCGGACAGCGGCGAGCCGTGATCGAGTGTCACGCGCGTGCGCGCGCGCGCGCGAGTACAAGTCATCTCTGGGAAGAGAACGTTCGGAGAGGATTGATCGGTTCATTCACTCACTGGTGTCGGAGGTGTGCACGGGAGTGGTAGCCGGCGTGTTCGAGGGCTGATGTTGCGTCGGCTGCGTTGGTATGCCAAGGGACGCGAGCAGCGGCCGGGGCACTGCACCAGGGGTGGCTGTCGGTGGTGGCGGGCTCTCCTGGCCCACGAGCAGGCTCGCAGGCGGGAACCCGAAGAGCTGGGATCACTGGAGCCGAGGCCAGTAGTTACCGGTCAGGTCTGGAGTTTGCGACGGGATCTGCACCGGCACCGAAACACCTGCCGATATCACACCTGGAACAACAAAATGCGTTTCTTCTTGTCGTTAAAAGGATCGCTTGACGCTTTCGCGGACGGTACAACTTTTATTGAACTATAGAAATGGACAGGCGATTTATTCTTAAACTGATCGTGATACCGAAATTTTGGTTAGTCACATTTCGTCCGAGTGCTCGGAGTATCACATTTTAACCCTTTACACTAGAGTGGCGATTACGAGGCGCCACTAAACCCATTATCCGCCAATGTCCCATTTTTGGGACATTTCTTCAAATTTCTTTCTTTTTAAAAAACTGCAACTTTTAAATAAAATACAGGCATTACGAAAGTGAGACCATATCACGTAATCCATGAAAGTTTTAAATCATTCTCAATTTAATTTTCTTTGTATTTTGGAATTGCGGCGGATAATGGATTAAAAAATGTTTTATGTCACGTCTCAAAATAATTTTATTAATCAAATTTGTTTATATTTAAAGAGCTTTTGAAAGTGTAACCGTTGTATAGGTCACAATATTTAATTTCATGCGCACAAAATGCAGTAGGTCATATAAAATGGCCAAACCGTGGGTCGGAAAAACTATTTTAAATTTTGCGTTAATTCTGCGTCGAGAGCGCAAAGGGTTAATAGTTGTATACAATGAGTGCTGTAGCATCCACATCGATACAGATCAAATTAAAGTGCATAATAATTTCAAAAAGTAAACGCTACATAAAATTGATAATATGATTTATAAATTTAAATGTTATGTCATTTTGCATCACAATGAAAATGAATTCTATAGCATTCGTGTCCGCGAACGTGTTAAAACTCTACGGAATTGTCGCTAATGATGCCAATGTCATTTTAATTCAAAGTGATTTGGATATATTCTCAACCCGATGCTCGCAAAATAAACTTTCTCTTAAGGGGGNGATCGCTTCTTTCGATCCAATTGCTACAGAAAACGCGTCTGGAGATTAACACCGTCGTTAGGTCGAGTCAGCTTTCACCGGAATCGAGCCGCTATTGCCGATGCAAGCTTTCGGTACCGCGTCGCGCTCGATAGTCCCGCCTGAAACCCAGGACACGGTGTCCCGAGTCCGCGATCCTCTGTTTTCTAGCTGCAGCTATCTTGGTATCTTGGTCGCGCGATAAATGTATCCCCCGCGACTCGAGTGATCGGGGTCAGCGATTCGTCGGACAGCGGCGAGCCGTGATCGAGTGTCACGCGCGTGCGCGCGCGCGCGCGAGTACAAGTCATCTCTGGGAAGAGAACGTTCGGAGAGGATTGATCGGTTCATTCACTCACTGGTGTCGGAGGTGTGCACGGGAGTGGTAGCCGGCGTGTTCGAGGGCTGATGTTGCGTCGGCTGCGTTGGTATGCCAAGGGACGCGAGCAGCGGCCGGGGCACTGCACCAGGGGTGGCTGTCGGTGGTGGCGGGCTCTCCTGGCCCACGAGCAGGCTCGCAGGCGGGAACCCGAAGAGCTGGGATCACTGGAGCCGAGGCCAGTAGTTACCGGTCAGGTCTGGAGTTTGCGACGGGATCTGCACCGGCACCGAAACACCTGCCGATATCACACCTGGAACAACAAAATGCGTTTCTTCTTGTCGTTAAAAGGATCGCTTGACGCTTTCGCGGACGGTACAACTTTTATTGAACTATAGAAATGGACAGGCGATTTATTCTTAAACTGATCGTGATACCGAAATTTTGGTTAGTCACATTTCGTCCGAGTGCTCGGAGTATCACATTTTAACCCTTTACACTAGAGTGGCGATTACGAGGCGCCACTAAACCCATTATCCGCCAATGTCCCATTTTTGGGACATTTCTTCAAATTTCTTTCTTTTTAAAAAACTGCAACTTTTAAATAAAATACAGGCATTACGAAAGTGAGACCATATCACGTAATCCATGAAAGTTTTAAATCATTCTCAATTTAATTTTCTTTGTATTTTGGAATTGCGGCGGATAATGGATTAAAAAATGTTTTATGTCACGTCTCAAAATAATTTTATTAATCAAATTTGTTTATATTTAAAGAGCTTTTGAAAGTGTAACCGTTGTATAGGTCACAATATTTAATTTCATGCGCACAAAATGCAGTAGGTCATATAAAATGGCCAAACCGTGGGTCGGAAAAACTATTTTAAATTTTGCGTTAATTCTGCGTCGAGAGCGCAAAGGGTTAATAGTTGTATACAATGAGTGCTGTAGCATCCACATCGATACAGATCAAATTAAAGTGCATAATAATTTCAAAAAGTAAACGCTACATAAAATTGATAATATGATTTATAAATTTAAATGTTATGTCATTTTGCATCACAATGAAAATGAATTCTATAGCATTCGTGTCCGCGAACGTGTTAAAACTCTACGGAATTGTCGCTAATGATGCCAATGTCATTTTAATTCAAAGTGATTTGGATATATTCTCAACCCGATGCTCGCAAAATAAACTTTCTCTTAAGGGGGAAAACCGCCCTAACGGTTAAAAAATTCGATTTTTTATTATTTTCCTAAAGTTTCAAGAGTGTAGAATGTTATATCAAAGCGATATTTCGAAATTCGAACATTCAGCGACTGAAGGTAGAGTTAAAAAAATCTTGCTTTGTGCGAGAGAAAAGTTATCTTAAAACTTTAATTTAAGCTCTAATTTTTTGTAAGCATTTAAAGTTAATTTTTTGAGGTGAAAACACCTGTTTTTTCAAACCCCGACGATTTCTACAATTATTAAAATTTTCAGAAATCCGTAAGCTATATTCATAGACAATAGTTACTAGTTTATGAATCAATAAAATTTGTATAATTGTAATCTTTATTGTACTATAGGCGCTATATATGCGTATTACATATATGTATTATAATGACATACTTATATGTCTGTACATGTTGTATACATGTAAGTTTAGAGTAACACTGTTTTTTACAAATTACAATGTAGACATAATTAATTATTTGCTTCTGAAAAAATCATTTTTTCAAAAGAAAATGTTTATATTTCGAAAATCTGTAAAAACTTGCAAAATACCAACAAAAGTTGTGCGGCAATTCATATATATGTTAATGCATACAAGGTGTCCCATTTGAAGCAACGCGCTCAATTATCTCATAAACTATAGTTTGTTTCAAAAGACGTTACAACATTACCTTATCCTTAATTTGTTTTTTTTTTTAATGAAGCTGTAAATTTTTATATGTTAGCAGTTAGTGCTGATCAAGGTCAATCCATTGACCTACATACTTTGGCGTTTGAAAGTCATTCAAGGACGTTTAATGCCGTGTTATGTTTACCTTTTTTAGTGCGAGTTCGCGTTATGTTTACATCTTGAACAATTTTCAAAGACCAAAGTGTTATAAGTCAATTAATTGACCTTGAAATGCGCAACCGGGCACATAAAACAAAATGTACAATTCCATTCTAAAAAACCAAGGTCACCTTGAATTCTCGGAAACACGACCACTCAGTAAAAGTGTGCGTCAACTAAGTCAACAGAAACTTACGTAAACATTCGTAGACAAACGAAATTAATTTCCCCAGTAACTAAAAAATAATTCTAAAAAAAATTTCATGTATGATTTTATCCATTTCTTGCCTGACAATTTAATCCAACAAATTTTGTTTGATCTCGTGTTTTACGCAAATACGCTAAAGATCAACGTAATTATACAGTCATACATAATTTGATAATACCTAAACATAGAAAATGAGTGAATTTTCACCTAAGTTGTGTATAAGGGTTAATTCAGAAACCCCCCGAACATTTTGTACAACCAAAAATATTTTTATTATTAGATATGCAGATTTTATGCATTTATTGCAAAACTAAGTACATCAAATATGAAAGTATAAAAGCATTTTAAACCTGTACTGGTATCCTGGAATCTCATGATTCCATAAAATTATCTACATATTGATTTTTACTAAAATATTGTTGCCTACAATTGTATGCACAAACAAGTTTTGGTAAATCTTTATGCAATCTTTCGGAAAATTCAGTACTTTGCTATCTTAAAGAATTTAAAATGGACAATTTGGGAAGAGGGGGATATGATTTCTCGAGCCTTGCGCCTCGTTTTTATAGTTGTCCCAAATGATCTCCTCCTCCCAAATTGTTCATTTTTGTTTACAAGCTGAAGGACAATTGAAATGAATGTACCGTACTGTTATATTATTCCCAACTGAATAATTTTAATAAATATATAAAGTACACTTCCATTGAACTCATGCTTCTTACAATTAACACCGATAATTTTTGCTTCGCATTATCCACTGCACATTCTTCCGCAATTTCCTGTGCTTCAAAATCAAGTAGCTTGTCTAAAAAATTCCCTGCAACTCAACAGTATACGTTTACAACGTCTACAACCCAGTGACAGACAGCGAGTACTAAAACCCAGCCTCCAATCTCAGATCCGATCGAGCTATTTACAAAGTTTTAAAGACAAACGTTTCAACGCAATAATCGTTTTTGAAAACAATAATCTATCTCAGATTGCACCAAACAATTGCATATCGTGGAACATCCTCGCGCTCTCACATAAATCCCGTACGATCCAGCCGCGACCGATCGACAGAACGCTCGCGTTCCATATCGATCGAAATTTCGCAGGAATCAAGCGAGCTTAATCCCGACTCATAACGTTTCCACCGTTCGCCGAGTATCCGGCGATCAAACGGGAACATGTAAGTTTCATTTTGTGGAACGGAGCAGCGTATAAATCATGGTACAACGAGTGAAATCAAGCGGCGCGTTCTCCGTGAAAACGATACACGCCAAGGGTCGGCGGGCGGGCACTTAGCAATGGAAACGACGACGGGACATCGTCGGTGGTGGTGACGGCAACGAGCGCGGTGAAAGTCCCCGGCGCTCATGCACGTAAAACGATTATGATGGATAAGTTGCGGCTCGTTCCGCACGTAAGAAGCGCGAGAAACGAGGGACAGGGGTAGGAGGAACGGAACTAGACAGAGAAAGAGAGAGAGAAATAGAAAGTAAGAGAAAAAGAGAGAGAGAGAGAGAGAAAGAGAGAGAGTAGAACGGTAACGGAGGGAAAAGCGAAAGGAAGAGAGCGAGCGAGCCGGGCGAACGGGGCGGAAAGACAAAAGGAATGCGGCGCGTGTTCCGCAGTATTCCACCATTCTACGGCGTTCCACTCCATTCCTGTAGGTACGCCGCGCACCCCCGTGTTTCCTCCCCTTTGGGTTCGCACGTTATTGAGCGCTCGCCCAGCCGAGGCGAGACCCAACCCATCCACATCCTCTGTTCGCCCCTGTATACCTTAAAGAGAGGAAGAGACCGGGGGACAGAGACAGCGAAAACAAGCCCGGCTGCGGCGAAACAGAGACAGCCCGAGAAAGAAGGAACAGGGGCTGCTGCGAGCAGGAGCGGCGGCGAAGAAGGGCGAGGGGGGATAAGGTACCCGGTGGGTCGTCCCTCCGCAGTTTTCGTTAAGCGAGAGGGGTCGAGGGTACGCGGCGCCGGGGATGGAGAACGGAAAGTTGGCGAAGAAAGAAAGAAGCCCGATGGTCGGTCGCGCGACGGAGAAAGTGCGAATCGGAGAAAATGGAAAATTCACCGGCTACGTCTGCGGTCGGAGGGGACGGAGAACCGCCGAACATCCCATTCTTCGATTCAGCCCCCCGGCGCCGAGCGAGATTTGTTTTAAAATCCTTTGACAATTCCGTGGACGAACGATCCACGTGCCGCGCGACAATCTCTCGACCGCCCTCGAACTTCTCGCCGGATTCGAACCTATACGTCCCGTGCCACCTTCCTGTCACACGTCGCGGGGAACAGCCGCTATACGTACACGTGCATAGATTGCGTGTAAAGCGGTTCCCGGGTAATCCGCGACGGTTTATTTCGCTCTCGGCACCGGCGCTGCCGCGACAAGGAGCCGAACAGGCGGAAGTGGCTGCGAAACATTTTCTAATCCGCACTCCGTTCAACTAATTTTTACGTGGCCGGAAACTGTTCTGTTGCGATAAGGATCGTAAAATAATGGATGTGCACGTTGTAAGTAAGTTACACGCTTTATATACTATGTATGTACGTTCATATGTACTTCATTGGGGTGTAAAAGTTAAATCTATGAACTGCGCATCGTGTGTATTTATGTTCCTGTGGACAGTGTGTTAAAGTTTACGAAATGTGTCAGACTGGTAAACTATAAGACTCCAAAGAAAATTGTGAAGCTCTATTGTGTTTCTCAGTTTCTCAATGCCCAAATCATGGTACAAATTCCTTTTCTATGATCGCAAAAAGGCGTTTTTTCCTTTACAACAATTCGAAAGAACTTTTAGGGCTTAACTTAATACACAGCATAGCACTTTTACTGATTGGTTCGAATGCCATGCATATTGCGAGAAAAAAACATTTTATTATTTTTATCATTGCATATTTTTTAAGTACTTATTAGTACTTATTTAAGTACTTTTTTCCATACTTCTTACAAAAATCTTTTGTACATAATTTCTCTTCGTATGAAAAATAGCTTGGACCCGGCGATATGTAAACTAGAAACACTTCTGAATCGTTAGGGTTAAAACAAGGTACAGTAAATTCTTCCAAATTGATAGTGAGATTATACGCCGAAATGAACAATTTGGGAAGACAATCGGCAACTATAAAAACGAATCGGACGGCTCGAATAATCGTATCTCCTCTTTGTCCTCTTTATCCTCCTCGTCTCCTCAAATTGTCCATTTTTGTGTACAATCCGAGCGTCAATTAGGGAGAATTTACTGTAATTACCGCATCGAATAATATCTATACAACAAAATTTCAAAAATTCAAGGATTATACACAGAAACAACAAAAAATGGAAACCAATTTTTTACTTCAATAGCATAGATTGCCGCTAGTTTTGATGTCAGTTGTTGTTTTAATTTCAGTTGTTATTTTGTAACAGATAAACAATATGGACAGATGATTAAACATTTAAACTCGAGTGTAAATATTATTAATTTACACTTTAAGTTATATGAATATTTCGTAAGCTTCGCTTTCCTTTTACCTAGATACAAATCTTTGGTCGAGTTCAAGATGTTTTATTATGAACAATTGAAACATCCTGCAAAACGATCTGATGAAAAAAGAAAATCGATCATATGAGTTCGATTGCGTCCATCCTGTTCGTTTCACCGGTTTTTCGGACTTGCTTTGTTGATATTTACTTCAATCAATTTACAACCGTTATTAATTAATTAATACCGGTCCGACGGAAGTGGGTCAGTTTGTACAATGGATTTTATTGCAGCAACGAAAGGGACGAGCGAGAATCTTGTTACAAAGGTGTGGTAAATTTATTTGCGATTTTCCGGGTCGATCATAAATTCCGCGCGCGTTCTCCGCCGAAACAAAGTTTCTTGCGGCTGTTCTACGTATTTCCGGCGATGTCGTTTGCTACGGTAACCAGTTTTCGCGATGACACGCGCTGTTTTCCTTTTTCACTGTCTGGCCGCAATTGCGCGGCCCGAATCCTCGAGTGTGTGTAATCAGGCGGGTGTCTCAATGGCACGGTATAAGTACGTTTGAGCGGGAAGAACCTGTTCCCTGCAAACGGCATGGCACGGCGTCGGGCAGCGCGAACACGCGATACCAATCGTGGCGTTCCCCGCCCTCTCTGTCGTCTATTTAAACCGCGTGCCTCAGAAACGGAGGAGAATCTCTTGAAAAATGTGAGGAAGCGCTACGGTTAAAACGTTACTTTATCTTTCTGTAACTCGCTGCTTTCCCTGCACGGGCGTTAAAGATCTGTGCGGGAAGCATTAAATTTCGAATTATTGTAGGACCAAACTAAAAGAAAATTGGACGCATTCCTGCGACGATGAAACTATTACTTTATGAATCCACCGTAGACCATAAACAGGCGGTTAACGAGCCAAGAAACAGCTTTCGCTCGCGCAAATCGGTTCCAATTGGCACGATTCTTTGAGGTCGCTTTGAATAGAGAAGATAATGCATTCTTCGTACCATAAGTTCTTAAATCAATTCGAAGTGACCTATTACTACATACTTTTTACGACTATTACTGCGATGTTAATCTGAAGATCTAAGTATACGAAGTTATGCAATAATAAGCTTGACTAAAATGAGAAAGTATAGTTGAAGACTTTATATCATATTATATTATATGGATATATTATTTTTGTTATACGAATATCTTTCGGATGATATTACTTCCGCTTACGTTAAATCCACATTATAAATTACATGAAGATCATAGGAGAGATCAAATTTTTCATAAATACCACTAATTAGTAAACAATGTGATTCTCGCTTGTGCTACGTATGGACCAGAGTTGGGAAAAATTTTATTCGATGATCTAGATAACAAATTATTTGAATAAGATTTTATTATTTGAACAAAAATTTATTTGAATAAGAAGTTATTTGTTAATCGAATAAGAATTTATTTCTACAGAAACTAATTCAAAAAATAATCGATTTCGATACAAATTATAGAATGTAGCGTTTTTCCATAGGTTATTCATTAATTTCTTAATTAAGTTAATTTGTTAATTTTGACTATTCAATTTTCTTTCAAGTGCTGCATCGTTACTTTTGAATAGATTGATATTGATGCATAATTAAATAATCTTTCTTCGGGTGCAAAAGAAGACGTTGTACATTTTAGGATTCATATTTATAACACATATATACAGTGTTCCAAAATTATGTTACTTACTGGTAATGAGAAGTTCCTGAGGTCATTTAAAGTAACTCTTTCCTTAGTAAAATGCAATGGTGGTTGAGCTTGCCTCTCAATTCGTAAACAAAGCTATGCTAAGGAAAGTGTTACTTCAAATGACCTCAGGAACCCATCATTTCCCGGAAGTAACACAATTTGAAACCGTAGATAAATTAAAAAATTCAAGAGTATTCACCTACTAAAATACTATTATTATCAAGCAACCATTCCGTAATACGTAGATTCTTGAGAATCTCCTTAATTTCATTTAAAAAAATCATCATCTACCAACAGGTCGTGTCGATAATGACCTAGTTGTCGATACGACTTTAACCCTTTACACTATTAATAAGCTTTGCAATGTCTGAACTTTGTTCAAATAAAGCTGTATAATTTTCTTTTAAAAACTAATTTCAAAAGAATTTGTTACATCATACTGATGTATATAATTTTATGGATTATGGACAAGGTTATTGTATTCTTTGAACAACTTTTTAAAAAATTCTTAAAATTCTTATAAAACTATGGTTAATTAGCAATTCTTCGTTCTTAATAATTTCCCTAATAGAACGAGACAATTTTTGTTTCTTGTACGTCTTCATTTACTTTCATTATTAGTTTCTGATAACAGAAGAATCAAATTTTGTTTCAATTTAAAAGAAATGAATAATATTCATATGAAATCTCGATCACGAATCTGACCCGTTATAATAGAATAGAGAATCGAAAAATATCCACTAATTACTTGCAAGTTATTAAAGTTATTATTCATCAATTATGGATTCTTCATAAAATAATCAAACAAATAGCACGGATCGCGCGTAAGGACTCCAAAAACCGGAAAAATCATTTCATAGCATAGTGGCCTGATGTTACTATCGTCGGCCGCAAAGAAACAACGAATTATGCGTCGTCCTTGATGGAATAAATGAGCCGTTTATTTTGAAAGTGGCATAAGTCACTTTGTTTTTAAGTCGATGTATTTAAGGGTTTGCGTTTTAACACGTTTAAAAATATGGATGCTAACTTTCGAGAAAATTTACTTGTATTTATTATCTCAGGATACTGATATTTTTCTCGGTATAAATAATTTCGTATAAACATTAAAAAATCACCACTTTTCATTACGGTAAAGTGACTTATGCCACTTTCAGAATAAACGGCTCAAATAATGACAGAAATTTCTAAGGAGTTTCTTCTATTAGGTCATTAAGTACGAAATGTCCGATTATTATCTAAAGCATCATGTTTGATATCCGGTGTTTCCGATATTTCACTTCAACCGTCCTTTGTTTTTTTTTGCAGTGAGAAGGGATACGCCATCTGACTTTCAGACGCACTCTTTTCTTTTTAACACGTTCCGTGCCACGTGTACCATCGATGGTACACGCTTGCATGTTTACTTAGTGAACTGAACAAATTGTTTACAAGAAATTTAGAACCGAAGAATCAATTTCCACCGCAAGAATGGGCGTTGATAAGTTTTTGTTACGTTGTTATGTGTACGAGAATTAATAATTGCACGTAATACATCAAGTTTTAGTAAAATATCAAAGTGTGAAGATTCGAGTAAAAAAAGCTCGGCACGGAACGTGTTAATGACTTAATATTTTGCAAAATTGACGAAGAACATTTCCAATATGCATAAGGATCGGCAGCCTAATAATTTCTCATCTGTGAAGCTCCCGTTGTCAGTGGTCTGGCGGTAGTGCGAAACAGTTACAACCAATGCCGTCGGAACTCGCGACCTTGATTAGCGCGTACTGGAGCGGCGCAGGCGAAGTAGGTACCGATAGACGCCTTTGAAGATTCAGCAGGAACAAACAAACAATCCTTAAGCGGAAACTCACCAGTCGCGGTCGAGGTCGTCGGCTGGTAGGGCGCACCACCTGGTCCTGCAGGCTGTCCGCCGGGTGTGGTGGGGGTTCCACCATGAGAGGTCGGGATACCACGATGGGGTTGCGAGTGCGCAGCAGTGCTGTGTGCGTGGGAGTAAGACTGCGTCAACGAGTGGAGAGGCTCGTGGAACACGTACGCCGGATATCCCTCGGCGCGTTGCTGAAGACAGCTTCCACCCATTGACCCGCCCAAGCTGCTTGACATCGAGCTGCGAACAGAAAACGGATCCGCGTCAGGAAACGGTAACCGGAGAGGGCCAATCTCTGCTGATTCCAAAGAGATTCCAGGAGGATCCATCGCGGAACGCGACTCGACCACTCTCGAGTGTCCAATAACTGACTTTTACGGGGGACCTTTTGTTTCGGATCTTTCGATAGTACTTATCTCGCTCTATAGGGTTTTCTCAGGGTTGCAATGCTCACTGTTTAGAACTTTAAGGCTGCTTCGCACAGAGCTGCTTTAGATACAGCCGGTAATTTAGCAAAGTGGCGAGTAATTTTGTAATTTATTGTGTAATCCCTAAAATTCTCACAATATCTAATATACAGCGTGTTCCAAAAATGTCTCGCAATCCGGAAATGAGGGGTTCCTGAGGTTATTCGAAGTAACTTTTTTCTTGGCGAAAATGTAATCCGCGGCTTTTTGTTTACGGGTTATTAACGAAAAACGCTGACCAATAAGAGGCCACCTAGCGTCAGCCGTGTTCACTTCTCATTGGTCACTGTTTATCGTTAATAACTCGTAAACAAAGTCGCGGATTGCATTTTTGCTAAGGAAAAAGTTACTTCAAATGACCCCAGGAACCGTCCATTTCCGGATTATGAGTCATTTTTGGAACACCCTGTATAGTTTAAAAGATAACTGAGTGCGTAATTTCGACACCCTGTATGTGGTATATAATTTACTAAGAATATATATTTAAGCACATTTCAAATATTTAGTTTATAATAATATAATATAATATATATATACAAATATTTTTTAATTTTTGTTTCAGAAACCATAAGTTTTAAACAACCAGTAAGATTCTTCACGCATTTCTGACATACATAGAAAAAAGGGGTTTGAAACGAAAATTAATAAGTAATCATGTAAGAATAAATAGTAATCGAAAAAAATTGGTCAATTTTTATTCGAAAAAAATTCAAATTTTTTCAAAAATTTTTATTCGATAAAAAAAATTCATTCATTTCAATGAGATTGTAATTCTTTTTTGGTATATCGATGCATCTTTGTATACTTTGGGAAATGTACCAGGACGAGAATGAACTAGTTCAACCCTTCTACGGTGTTTATAAATACTTGCGCTAATGGTGTTCGGGTCGCACAGTTACATATATTTTCAAGCTTTATTATATAAAAGGATAATCAATATCAAAATCGATATAAAAATACAAGAGAAAGTAAACATTTATTTGCAGAATTCTGAAGATGATAATTAAACAAGTAATGTAAGCCTAATACAAATTCTATAGATTCGAAACACCATAAAAGGATTATAAGACTCTGCACTATTAATCTTAACTGAATAATTTTAATAACTAGAAGAAACATATTTTTATTCGACTCATGCTTGTTGCAATTAACTTGTTCGATTTCAACGTCACACTGTGCGACGCCTTGGAAATATCTATCACCAAAGTAAAACTGTGGTCCCATAATAACGACCATGTATAATCTCTGGTTCTCTCTCTCTCTCTCTCTCTCTTTTCTATACAACCCGTTCCTTCATCTACGTAAACCCTCAAACAAGATACCATATCTAGTATAGTACCTATATCAACGTAAACGCCGGTGATGATAATAATAATAATGCAAGCTCTGGCACACCAAAGAGAACAAAATAGAAAAAGAAGGCAAAGCCGCGTGAACGTAAAATAGTGATAGCGAAGGTCGAAGTTCAGCAGCAAGGACAGCTCGACGCTTGTGAGCCGGGCTGTAAAACGAAGATATAATGAGCGAATAGAAAGCGGTTACCTGTAAGTGTCGGGCATTGTGGCGATCGGCTGCGGTATCGACGAGTACATGGCGTTGAATCCGGCGTTTAAGGGTAACCGTGGTGTAGCAGGGGTTGCTGCCGGGGGTGCTGTGCTGCCGCTGCCGCCGCTGCTGCCTCCGCCGACTACCTGATCGACGGCTGCTCTCCTTTGGTTCCGTAATTTCTCCTCTCGACGCCACTTCGCCCTGCGATTACTGAACCACACCTGCAACCGACGCAATGACGGTGCTTTTGTCACGATAAGGGCGTCACTCCGCGCGATGTATTCGCATTATCCGCACCTATCCATCCTCGCTCTCTCGCCCGTTCATTCTCCTTTCCACTCGTGCTCTCGTACTTTCATTCCTCACCTCCATCCTCCCTTTCTCCGCTCATTTTTTCCCACCCATTCTCTCTTCCTCACCCTCCATCGCGCTCCGTTCCTCCCCCACCGCACAGCGGGGCCAAAGGCACCCAAATACGAGAAAAGGTTATTTCTATAAAATATTTCCGTAATGAAAAGTTAACTCGCGCTTAGTTTGTTGGGAATGCGAGCTATGATTTGGCACGGATTCTTTCACCATTTATTAGTAGACGGCTCTGATGCGACCAATCTCGAAATCGTTCCGACGTAAAATCGTCGTTTATACTTATGTTATCTTTTTCAACTAAATAACGAGTGACAGAGTCAAGTCTATCTAGCATGTTCTCGAATTACAGCAAATGTCGTTTTCACGGCTCCGCGACTTTTTCAGTTATACATAGCTGAATAGGTTCAAATTTCATTTCATTTTTTAATTATGAATACAGTGCGATGCAGTGATCGTCTTGCCCGCATTTTGTAAACTGAAGCTTTACCTTTATTTGGAAGAAAAACTAGCTGCCAAGAGGTGCCAATGCAAATGTTACAGCAATATAATCGCACGTCGGATTATGCTCACGACTCGGAATTCCAAACATTGCTTGGATATACATACATATAAATATGAATGTACACAGGCTCACGAAAATGTTCGTGAGCGCAATTAGAACGCAATAATTTTTTTAAAACAACTGAGATGCTTTCCCTTAATTTTGCTCTTACTTGGAATGACAAAAGAAGTAAAAAACTCTCGTTTCTTAAATTTTTTATTTGAGCCGATGACAAACGTTTCAAAAACGCCTTTCGTAGATTTCGGTAACTTATATGCATGCTGAAAAATTTATCGAAATCGTTTGACGTTGTTGCGAGTGACAAATAATTAAAGATCGCTAAAATCGCAGTTTTGTCCCAACTTTTCACACTTTTGATCAAAAATTAAGAAATCCGCATTTTTTAAAATTTTTCAACGCCTGCGGCTTTACTCTCGTTTAACCGATTTCGATCAAATTTTCAGCACGCATGTAAGTTACCGAGATCTAGGAAAGGCATTTTTAAATACTTGTTACAGGCTCAATTAAAAAAATTAAGAAACGTAAGAGAAAAATTAAGGAAAAGCATTTCAGACATTTTCCAGTGGACTAGCACCCTATCATCTAAAAAAATTTCAAGTCATATAGTACAGTTTGAAAAAAGTTACTGCGTTTTAAAAGGTGTTCGAACACTTTCGTAAGCCTCTATATATTTTATAAATTGTTCCGAATTGATGAAATCGCATATATAAAATCTAAAGATTAGTTTTTAATGAATTATTACTCTTGTGTTAAATCGCTGTTCACTTGTTTATAACTTTTTAATAATTTCCTGCGAATTAATTGTTAATTCGTTGTTCATGAATTGTTAATTGGTTTTGCGCTTGCATGTTAATTATAGGCATTTTATAATTATACCTTCGTTTGTAAACGTCGTTCAAAAATAGATTCTGCGATCTATTCAATGTTCATAAATACACATATACATAATGGCCCATCGCGTAAAATACTAAAAACTCGGACAGAGATATATGATTTCAGTGGGAAAATGTTTTTTACCGGTTTTGGGTGCCTTTGGCTACACCGTGCGCCGTCTTTCTCGTTCGTTCACTGTCTCCTCGCCCTGTTCTCCCCTCCCCTGCTCGCCCGACGAACCCCTTCCGGCCCAGTCTGCCTCCCGTTCGCCCACGCAACAGCGTGAAATTTAGATACTTTTTCCTACCCGCGGAGGATACGCAGCCGAGTTTGCACGAGACTCCCCTGCAGTTTGTTAATTGTGATTGAGCAGTTGTCGGGACGGGAAATTGAGTTACTCTCGCTGTATTCCCGCCGCGCTCCTCCGTCCTCCTACCCTCATAGACACTTTCTTTTTTTCCGATTCTTTTTCCGCCGTGGCACGGAGTTCCGCCTATCGGATGCGCGACGGCTCCACGCGTACCTGCAGACGGCAACTTGAATTTATTCGCGACGTTAGCTTCGCTCGATGCAGTCCGCAACGGGATTGCCAAAGGTGTCCTTAGCTGCCCGGTGAACCGTGAATTTCCATGCTTTTTTTTTCTTCTGTTCTTCGCAAGAAACATTCGTCAATTTCAATATCAATCCATTCCGAGACATTAACCATCGAGTCTCTGTCCTCGATTATCTTCCACGTTACGCGTCGCGGCGATAGAACGGACAAGAAATTTTTAAAAGCAGTGCTTAGTTATCGGATTGACACTAACTGTCGCAACAGAGATACCATTCCGCCATACGAAATCGTAGACGGCAACGAGATTGATTTTCTGCTGAAATATCTCGCGAAAATTATCAACCCGTTGTTGTCATAATTGGCATACCGCGAATATGTATTAGTAGTATATCAGTGGAAGCCAGAGATGACTCGGGCACAGGAGGCCGCGGCTTCAGTATTCGTCGGGTTAAAGTAACGTGCCGATATCGTTTAAATTCCGATATCATTTAAATAATGTATTCTCATTCCATGTGCGGGAATTGTTAAAATTATTTCTATGCAATGCCGGTATCGTAAAAACATATTATTTTTGATGCCGAAATTTTGTATATACAGTAAATTCTCCCTAATTGACGCTCAAATTATACACAAAAATGGACAATTTGTGGCTCGTTTTTATAGTTACCGATTTCAACAACTATAAAAACGAGTCGCAAGGTTCGGATAATCGTATCTTCTCGTCCAAAAATGCCCATTTTTGTGCAAAATCTGAGTATCAATTAGGGAGAATTTTCTGTACTACCTATTAGGCGTTTATGTCAAAAGCGATTGCAATGAAAGACAAAACTATGAATATATTTGAAAAAAAGAAAGAATATCGTGACATTATTTTTATCTTACTAAAATTGTTAAATGGAAGAACACATTTTAACTCGTGTTCCTCGCAATAAATTCAGGAAATGTGTATTTTGCATAAATATTCGCAGTCCAGACGTGATTGTATCGCCATACCTAGTATAGTCGTTTTGTCGACGTGACAAAATATTTCGTTACGCTCTAGATTAAACGGTAAACATTTACTTAAATGGTTTTGCCCTTAATCTGTTCGTTTTTTTCGGGATTTTCATAGAAAGCTGTATAGAAACCTTAAGAAGAAATACAGATCCGGGGAGGATGAGAAAGTAACGTATTTTTGCTACTTTTTTGACAAAAAAAAGTAAAATTTAAAGAAACTAATTTCTTCCGGAAATGCCAAATTTCGGGTTTCTGTGAATTCCCCTGTGCTAATCCTACGTCTATGTAATTTATTGCGTATGATGCAGCACGCGACGCGAATTCCCGGAATACAACACAAAATGATCAGTTTGGGTCTCCGAATTGCTTTCGATTCGTGACAAAAAATTAGAAATAAAAAAATTAAGTAATCGTTTTTATTCTAGCATTACTATGTATTCATATTAATGTACACCGGCATGCTGGCCGCTGCCTTTTTTTGACGACTGTTTTAGAACGAAATTCTGAACAACTTTTATCTGAACAATAGTCGAATAATAGCCGTTCGAACTTAGTTTTCGGGATATTTGCAAAAATCATTGGCATTACTACATTGTCCCGCCAAGTTCATCGTAGATTTTTGCAAATATCGGAAAAACTAAGATCGAACAATAATTATTTGTCAGATAATAATTATCCAGAGTTTCGTCCTCTGCAATATACTTCAAAATCATCCGCGTCGATTTAGTCATTTTGCAGAACAATGACGAATTTCCAAACTTCACGTTTTTTTCCCGACTGATTCCTTNGTTTTTTTCGGGATTTTCATAGAAAGCTGTATAGAAACCTTAAGAAGAAATACAGATCCGGGGAGGATGAGAAAGTAACGTATTTTTGCTACTTTTTTGACAAAAAAAAGTAAAATTTAAAGAAACTAATTTCTTCCGGAAATGCCAAATTTCGGGTTTCTGTGAATTCCCCTGTGCTAATCCTACGTCTATGTAATTTATTGCGTATGATGCAGCACGCGACGCGAATTCCCGGAATACAACACAAAATGATCAGTTTGGGTCTCCGAATTGCTTTCGATTCGTGACAAAAAATTAGAAATAAAAAAATTAAGTAATCGTTTTTATTCTAGCATTACTATGTATTCATATTAATGTACACCGGCATGCTGGCCGCTGCCTTTTTTTGACGACTGTTTTAGAACGAAATTCTGAACAACTTTTATCTGAACAATAGTCGAATAATAGCCGTTCGAACTTAGTTTTCGGGATATTTGCAAAAATCATTGGCATTACTACATTGTCCCGCCAAGTTCATCGTAGATTTTTGCAAATATCGGAAAAACTAAGATCGAACAATAATTATTTGTCAGATAATAATTATCCAGAGTTTCGTCCTCTGCAATATACTTCAAAATCATCCGCGTCGATTTAGTCATTTTGCAGAACAATGACGAATTTCCAAACTTCACGTTTTTTTCCCGACTGATTCCTTGCTTTAGTGATCAAATAAAGGACTTTTTTAAACGCCGTAAAAAAAAACAGATCTCAGGCAAAGCTCGGTAAAGTAAATATTATTTAAATATTATGACACAGGAAAAACAAGAAGCTATTGAATTACTAACTAGCCAGAATTATCGAGACAGATTTATCGCGCGGACACTCGAGACGATACGGTGTGTATAATAACTGGTAACCTCAAGCAGCAAATCGGAGCTTAAGTTCTTTGTCGCGCTTCCCCGGATTTCCTGATTTCGAAGATACCTCGTCGCGATAAGAGGATTCTCTCTCCCTTCGATATGTCGATTTCCCCTCATTCTCCGAGCACTGTCGGCACAAACTCTGGATTACATAGTAATTTTTCCCCGCTTCGAACGTCTCTCA